CTTAACTTGGCCTCTTTTTATAATATATACCAGTAATTTAAGCAGAAACCTTTTTGCGAAAAATTATCTAGCTACGTGGTGCCAGGGTCGAGATATTTGCAAAAGCCGCATATATGTATACTACGATCTGTTTCAAATTTAGCATGTTGAGTTGAAACCTAGTAGGATATAGACTTGCAAAAAATGGAACCGCTAGGGGTGCTAATGTCAAAATAAAAAGTTTATTCGACATAAAATGCATATTTTCTTCGTTAAAAAAAATACCTTTTCAATGGAAATTTTAGTAACGTAACGTCAGGTAACGTCACGTCACAGAGTTCAACTGATTAAACGAAAAGCAGAAAAGATTTGTACATTTAAAAACTTGGAATATTACTACAAAAAATTTTATACAAATAGTCTTGCCCAATTCCCAGCGTTTTGCAATTTAGTAACCCACGTCAAAATCCACTTGTTTTTTGTAACGTCGCGCCTGCGCATATGCTTAAATCACCACTGTACTATGTAAATTATGATGTTTTTTTAGCGACTATTTTCTTTTACTCCCACCTCGAAATTTTTGGGAAATACCTAAACAAAAAAAAAATCCCTGAAAATATTAATACTAAGTGCTCTAGCAAGGCGTGCAAAGATTTACCATTTAAATTACACGTAAACTTTGATTGCTTTTTTTCAAAATTCTATAGGTCAGAGGCATTTTATGGTATAATCAATGATGGGGATTCTTCAGAATTGAATGCTGTACAAAAGTGTCCACTGTCCAATTTTTCATGAAATTCTCGTTTCTTTTTTGTCCCTATCTCGTAAATAACAAGAGCAACAGAAAAAATGTTAATTACTAAGTTGTAGGACATTCAATTTCCTACAAAAACGTTACGGAACTCCAAATCGCTAACATCGATATTTCTTGAGATACTGGGCTTTGAAGTTGAGGTATTGTGGAATTTGCATGGATTATTGAGCTAAATTGTAGAAATTGTTGATCAACTACCATAAAATGCCTCTGAGCTGTAGCATTTTGAAAATCTTTGAACACCTTTTGTCAAGCACATAATATTAACCCCACATAATTTGAACCACCAAAACCCCTACCAGCGTTCGCCTCTGCCTTGGATCCATGATCTACGTGTCAAACAGAAGTAAACTGCATCAAAAAATCTGTTACAATTTTTTTTTTTTTGTTTTTCGTACCAAATTTATCTAATTTTACTAAATTTGTCTTCTTGGCGTCTTAAAATAATTATACAGTAACTTACAAGCAATTCTGAGAATTTCTCTCATATGAGAGGATAGAAAAGGACAAAAACGCAAACCATGGAAAAAGCTTGAAGTTATATGTAACTTTAGTAAAATAGTTTTTATTTTGGTGGAAAATATTTACAAGTAGAAATTTATCCTGCAGAAAGCTAAAAATCAACTGTTATTTTGCTATCTCAATTTATCTTATTTTATCAACTTTTTTGCCAGCCAAGGCATGATAATTCGTAACAATTGTTACAAAATATTACAAATTATTGCTTAATGAAACAAAACTATTGTCAGCCGTTTCTCTAAATTGCGATGTGCAGAATCATGCCAATGGAAATGATACGTTGCTAAATTTGCTATAACTATATGCAAAAGATTTGGATCTATATACGTTGAAATTAAATAAGCTTTAATACAGCATAAAAATAAGAACAAAAAGTTTGCAGCTTTTAGGTGTAATTCAGAGTAGAATAACGATGCGACCTAAATTGTGTCCGATTTCACCCATAAATTTGCAGATAACTCTTAAACTTGCAACTCTTGATTGCAAAACATTGTATAGCAAGTTCATAGGGATTTCGAAGACCTTTAATCTGGTGGAGAGCTTTTCGCAATGTGAGAATTAGAACCCGATATTTTGGAAAAAATTGAAAATGCTGTTTTCTTAATT